CCCCCCCTCCCAAAAAAAAAAACAAAAAAAGAGAAGAAAAATCTAGATTAGCTGTTTTTGCAAGCTACAAGCATGCCAAGAATCGTGGACTCTAATTTCATGCTTATCCTAACTTATATAGACTTCATCAAATTATAAAGATTTCATAGTTTATGGTAAATTATTCTTCTATTCTGTTTCCCATGACTTAGTTGATTCTGCTTTTATAATTGTCTTCTCACACAAAGGGGTTAAACTTGAACAGACTAGATTTTACCAGAGTTAAGTCTTCCCTTGTTCACTATTTAAATGGTTAATTGCAGATAGACCCATGTACTAGCATTCAATTGCAGATAGATCCTATGTACCATTGTCCAACTACAATTAAACCCCTGGGTGACTTTTTTTGACTCTTTACCCTTAGGAAGTCTATCTGTCAAAAATTAGACTCCTGAGTCGAAAAATTCCGCAAGGGGTCTATCTGCAACAATAAAAGCCTAGAAGGACAAGGCGCCTATCCCCAGCTGGGAGATATTACAGGGATCTATCTGCAATTAATCTTTGCTTAAAATTGAATAATTGTGTTTGGCTTATCCAAATCTAGAAATGTTGTCGTGACTCCTGGATATGGAGTTAGATCTGTGTTATTTACAGAACTGCTCTGTTACGTCTGCAGGCATGAAATTATTGGTATTGTTACTGAAGTTGGCTCCAAAGTAAACAAATTCAAGGTTGAAGACGAAGTTGGAATCGGCTGCATGGTTGACTCCTGCTGGTCCTGTGAAAACTGCCACCAGAATCTCAAAAACTACTGTTCCAAGGTCATATTCACCCACAGCGACATCATCAACGACGGCACAAAAACTTATGGAGGCTATTCAAATCTAGTAGCTGCCAATGGACGAAGGAGCACCGTTGCTCAGTGCTGGGATTACTGTGTTATAGTCCGATGAAGCAGTTCGGGATTGACGAGCCTGGAAGGCGCATTGGCGTTGTGGGACTTGGTGGTCTGGGACATGTTGCAGTGAAATTTGGAAAGGCGTTAGGAGTGCAGGTGACTGTGATCAGCTCATCGCCCAGCAAGGAGAAAGAAGACAATATTCTGCGGAGCTGGGAAAATATTGTTACATTGATTCTGAATGGACTCCCAATGTTCTTGTTAGAAATTGTGATTAAATCTGGAATAAAACAGAGAAATTATGATGTGCTGTAATTTTAAAATTTTCAGTTCACTGCCGTGCGTTTGAGAAACGTTATGCTTAAAGCAATATTTGGCCTATTCCGGTGCAAGGATCCCAAGGCAAAACTGCTTTCAGGAACAGCAGCACAGTACTCTGGTGTGCACCAACCTAGCACTGTCAAGATCTCCTCGATCTATAAGACCTTTCGGTCAAAGCAAAGATCTCATCGATCTCAGAACCTTTCGGTTCAAAACCTTTCGGTTTAAGGGCAAGTTCTTGCGTGCACAGATTCTTCAGCAACAGCACAACAACAACGACGTCAAAATCTCCTTGATCTGACGTTCGTTTGCCAAGCTCGCGTGTGTTTTTCAAGAGCTGCCCAAGAACGCTATTTATAGGCCTCTAAGGCCAGCTCAAGAGTCACTTGCAATTAATGTGACTGTTACAATTCTCAATGGCAATTAAGATTATAAAATCAATGCATTTAATTGCTCTTAATTCTGTTGTAACTGCTGCATGCAGTAACTCCTGAATACGAGGCAACCAATGGACGCGTTGCTACGTAACGCGAGGGTCACGTCTCAGCAAATCAGACGAACCTCGTTTGACAAACGAACCTCGTCAAACAGGCGAACCTCGTATGACAGACGAACCTCGTTTGACAAACGAACCTCGTCAAACAGGTGAACCTCGTATGACAGACGAACCTCGTCGAACGAGCGAACCTCGTCAAGCAGGCGAACCTCGTATGACAGACAAAACTCGTCGAACGAGCGAACTTCGTTTGACGAGCAAACCTCGTCTGATCTTGTGAATCAGACGAACCTTGTCGAACAAGTGGAACCTCGTCAACTAATTGACGAACCTCGTCTGACTTCGAGAGCGCAGGGTCACACTCTCGTGCGAATGCATAGCTCGTCCGCATGATGCGAAGTAGCCTGCGAGGCAACCTTCGTGGCGTCAAATAGCGCCACCTCGTCCCGATGCCTCCGTGTGAAGTGCAAAATGTACCTAACAAAGCGCCACTTAGCGCCTCAGCCCGATTAGCCCCGATCCCCGGCCCATTGGCCCACGATCTATTGGCCCCCGGCCCACGGCCCACAGCCCACGACACAAGACCCACTAGAACTTATGAGGGATTAATACAAATAAAACACTTCTCGGCTTGACGTTGGCAAGTCTCGAACAAGGAACCTTTTGAAACACCAAAACATAAACTTTCCACTAGGCTACTAAGTATTTATGAAAAGTATTTATAGTTAATATATATATAGTTTGAAAACTCATTTTGGAAAGCGGTTTTGACCAAAAAATCCAACAATCCCCCACAAGTTTTTAAACTATTATCGTGTTATAATGTCGTCGTTTCAATCGTCGTGCATAAGATAGATGTCGTAATGACTTGAATCCCCCTTAGACCAACTGAAAAGAAGATAGATGCATGGTGTCGCAGAGACTTGAACCTGCACATGTCTAAAATCCAACGATCACACAAGATCAAACTCATCTGTGGTAGTTTTCACTTTGAACCACACTTGTCTTTGCCTATGCACATTTATGGCCATGTGCTTGTCCTGGTTTCTGCTAGGGCTTTAGGTATCTTTCCACAAGACACCATAGGAGACGGCCAAATCTCCACCCAGGTATAGGTGAGTTCTTTAGGCATGTTTCCTATCAAACATCCCGCATCCGAAATGCTTTGAACTCATTAAGGCTTAAGAGTCATCCTCTCTCATGATAGGATTCTAGGTGAGTCCTTTAGGCGTGTTTCCTATCTAACACCCCGTATCCGAAATGCTTTGGACCCATTAAGGCTTAACAACCAACCCCTTTACATGATAGGATTATCGGTGAGTCCTTTAGGCATGTTATCTATCCAACATCCCGAATCCGAAAATGCTTTGGACTCATTAAGGCTTAACAACCAACCTCTTTACATGATAGGATTTCACTTGTAAATCTTACTCGACTTTCGAACCAATCATATTGTTATTAATAACGTAAGCTTTGAACTAATAACTTGACGAAATAGTAAGTGTTTGTAAGACTCATCAAACATTACAAATCTTACTTGACTTTTGAACAAGTTATCTTTATTATTAGTAGCGTAAACTTTGAACTAATAATTGAATGAACATGATAAGTATTTGTAAGACTCACAAAACTTTGAGACCCATTACAGCAGACGTACTTTTGACTATCCTTTTTCAGACCTTTAGTCAAAGGATCATCCACATTCTCTGAAGACTAAACGTCAATCACCAAGATGACTCCTTGGCAAATGAATTCTCTCAAATAGCCATGATTCAGACGAATGGTTCGCTTCTTTCCATTGAACGACTTTGCTGCCACAACACCCATTGCCTGATTATTACAATAGATTGTAATTACGCATTACAATTCTATCAATGGAAGGTCTCGGAGAATACAACTAAACCACTCAGCTTCATCTCCTGCAGCATAGAGTGCGAAGAACTCAGATTTCATCGATGACTGTTCAATCATAGTTTGCTTCTTAGATTTTCACGAGATGTCAGCTCCGCCCATAGTGAAGACAAACTTCCAGTAGATCTGCACTCATCTGGATCTGGGCACCAGCTCGCATCTGAATAGCCTTCGATTACAGCCGGATATCCAGTGTAGAATATGCCCAGACCTGTAGTTCCTTTCAAGTATCTTATCAATCTATGGACAACATCCAAGTGAAGCTTTCCAGAATTACTTGTGAACCTACTAAGACTTCCAATTATCTTTGAGTATCTTAGCTGTTCTACTGATCTTCCAGTGTTCGGTCGAAACTTCTTGATACAACACTGACAGTTCTGGCAGGTAATAGTAGCCATAATTCCTTAGCATGCTCTCGACATAATGAGATTGGAACAATCCAATACCCTCTTCAGAGTATATGATTTTGATTCCGAGAATCACGTCCGCAGTTCCAAGATCCTTCATGCTGAACTGGGCTGATAGAAATTTCTTGGCACTGTTTTAAATATCGGCCGATAACCGATATTATCGGCCGAGTTATCGGATTTGGGAGCTCTCCGATAGGATAACTTGGATTTTTAATCGGTTATCGTTTTTGGCAAGTTATCGGGGAGTTATCGGCGTTATCGGTACTTATCGGCCGATAAGTAAGGTTTTTTTATCGGGATTATTGGCCGATAAGTAAGACTATGCAATCGAATGGTTTCATTGTGCGGTCAAGATATAAGTTTTGCTTTCTACAATTGGTTAGTGATTTTAAACATGATGATTTACATTTTGGTATGTTTATATGTCATTATGCATGGTTAGATTACATTTTTTAGTTATTATATTATATATATACACCATTCCGTATATCACTCCGATAAATACTACTTATCCCCGATTTTCGCTATCCGATAAGGATTTTGGCCGTCCGATAAATCCCCGATAACCGATATTTAAAACCTTGTTTCTTGGTAGATATTACTATCTCTAAATCACTCCCGACGATGAGCATATTATCCACATAGAGGCAGATAACCACCACCTTTCCTTCAGCGACCTTGATATATAGACACTTGTCAGACTCACTGACTTGATACCCATTGTTGCGAACAACCCCATCGAACTTCTCATGCCAGAATTTCGGTGCTTCTTTAAGTCCATATAGAGACTTAATAAGTTTACAAACTTTACCAGCTGGAGCATTAAGTCCTTTTGGTTTCTCCATGTAGATCTCTTCTGTGAGGTCCCCATTGAGAAAGACAGTCTTCACATCTATCTGATATATAACGAACCTTTTTATCGTCGCTCATGCGATAAACACTCTGATGGTAGTGATCCTGCAAACTGGTGCACAGACTTCATATTTATTAGGTTTGTTACCCCCATATTTCGAAAGTAATCCTAACTTCTCCATACTAGACAGTTTTGTATAATTTACATGTCCTAGCCTATTGTGCCATAATACAAAGGAATAAGCAGAAGATCATACTTCATTTACAACTGAGTTTGGTACAATAATACTAATCTTATACATGCTATCAGTACGATATGCATTGCCAAAATACATTTTCTTAAAAGATAGCATATCCTTTCCTCCTTGAAAATTCAGCATCATACCGACGTCACATAACAGGCTTCCAGAGACTAAGTTTTTGACAATTAAGGGAACATGTTTCACATCCTTTAATGTGAGTCTTCCCTGAAGAAAGAGTCAGCACCACAGTCCAAGTTCCAAGAATAGGAACCACAGAACGATCAGTCATTGATACGTTCTCTTTGGCAGCAACATAGAAAGAGGACAAATCTCTGTTGAAGCAGACATGACAGGTAGCACCTGTATCTAACCACCAACCAGAGACGTTGTTGGGAGTTTCCATTTGAAAGAGCATAGCCACACAATTGTCAAGTTGATTAACATTGTGTGTTGTTCCCTTTTTTTGTGCTTTACAATCCTTGGCAAAATACCCTTGTTTCCCACAGTTGAAGCATTTGTCGCTCTTCTTAAAATCTTTCTTCTGAACATTTAGGTTCTTCAGATTATGGTTCTTCTTGTTAAAAGACTTATTTTTCTTAGAAGAACCGATAAGCTTCTCAAGGTTAGTAGCCACCATGTTAGCAGACACCTTCTGCTTAGCTAGGAGCTCATTCTTCGTGCGAGTCTGAATATCGTCCTCGATCCAAATGAACCTCTTCAAATCAGACAGAGTCGCCTGTCTTTTCCTTGTTCGAATGTCCGTGGAGAATGACATACAAAGATGGAGGAAGCTTGTTGCCAATTGCTCCAGAAATAAATGTTTGACAAAGATTAATCTTTTCATCCTTCAACTTCATAGCAAGCTTTTCGAGCTCTTTGACTTGAGGCAAAACCTCAGTGTCATCTTCGAATTTAAAGTTTAAGAAACTTGTCAATAATGTGAGACTTGGAAAGCTTCTCCTCATCCTTGTATTGCTCCTCCAGAGCATTCCATATTTACTTTGCAGAGGGCTTGTTGGTGTAAACATCTGCCAGATGATCAGCTAGACAGTTAAGGAAATAACTCCTGCAGAAATGATTATTTTTAGCCCAAAATGCTTCAGACTCAGAGTCTTCTTCAAAGTCAGGTTTCTCTTCAGAAACCACATAGTAGATTTTTAGGAGTTGCATCCCGAAAATCACTTTTCGACGCCATGAGTTAAAGTTAGATCAATCAAAGTTTCCTAACTTGAGACAGTCCACTCCAAGAGTTCTCGCAGGATTCATTGTAGATCACAAATATTGCTTTAAGATTGTTGGAAATTGTGGTTAAATCTGGAATAAAACAGAGAAATTATGATGTGGTGTAATTTTAAAATTTTCAGTTCACTGTTGTGCGTTTGAGAAATGCAGTGCTTAAAGCAATATTTGGACTACTCCGGTGCAATGATCCTTTTAGTTCACTGCTGTGCGTTTGAGAAACACTGTGCTTAAAGCAATATGTGACCTACTCCGGTGCAAGGATCCCAAAACTAAACTGCTTCCAAGAACAGCAGCACGGTACTCTGGTGTGCACCAACCCAATACTGTCAAGATCTCCTCGATCTATAAGATCTTTCGGTCAAAGCAAAGATCATCTCGATCTAAAGAACCTTTCGGTTAAAAACCTTTCGGTTTAAAGGCAAGTTCCTACGGGCATAGATTCTGCAGCAGCAGCACAACAACAACAACAACGACAAGATCTCCTTGATTTGACGTTCGTTTTCCAAGCTCGCGTGTGTTTTTCAAGAGCTGCCCAAGGGCGCTATTTATAGGCCTCTAAGGCCAGCTCAAGAGTCACTTGTAATTAATGTGACTGTTACAATTCTCAATAGCAATTAAGATTGTAACATCAATGCATTAAATTGCTCTAAATGTTGTTGTAACGACTGCATGCAGTAACTCCTGAATACGAGACAACCAATGGACGCGTTGCTACGTAACGCGAGGGTCACGTCTCAGCAAATCAGACGAACCTCGTTTGACAAACGAACTTCGTCAAACAGGCGAACCTCGTATGACAGACGAACCTCGTCGAACGAGCGAAACTCGTCAAACAGACGAACTTCGTATGACAGACGAACCTCGTCGAACGAGCGAACCTCATCGAAGGAGCGAACCTTATCAAATAGGCAAACCTCGTTTGAAGAGCGAACCTCGTCTGATCTTGTGAATCAGACGAACCTCGTCGAACAAGTGGAACCTCGTCAACCAATTGACGAACCTCGTCTGACTTCGAGAACGCTAGGGTCACATCCTCGTGCGAATGCATAACTCGTCTGCATGCTGCAAAGCAGCCTGCGAGGCAACCTTCGTGGCACCAACTCGCCCCGATGCCTCCATGCGAAGTGCAAAATACGCCTAACAAAACGCTACTTAGCGCCTCAGCCCGATTAACCCCGATCCCCGGCCCATTGGCCCACGGTCACCGGCCCACTAGAACTTATGAGAAATTAATTCATATAAAACACTTCTCGGCTTGCCGTTGGCAAGCCTCGAACAAGGAACCTTTTGAAACACCAAAACATTAACTTTCCACTAGGCTACTAAGCATTTATGAAAAGTACTTGTAGTTAATATATATAGTTTGAAAACTCATTTTGGAAAGCGGTTTTGATCAAAATATCTAACAGTTCTATCCTAGAATGCAGAATGATAACCTACTTGTAGGGTGTCTAGGCGTCAGCTAGCCCTCATATAAACACGTATAGGGGTCTGAGGAGAATATATTCCGCGGAGCTGGGAATACAGTCATACCAGATACTACGGAATGGAAGAATAAACAGATTACTGAGATACCATAATCACTGTTTCATTCACATATAATGCAGCAAAACAACTAGCTGGAAATTTTTAACCTAAGGAATGATTTCTCTAATCCCAGATACAGATTCGACTAACAATCAGTGAATGGCATTTCAAATCAGAGAAGGCAAGCTGAGGTAAATACACAAAAACTATTCTAATAAAGCAGCCAACTATAGCAAGTCAAAAAGCGCGCGCGTGCACCCACAAAACCTCTCACATATTATTCCATTCTGAAAACAAAAAATGTTGTTGCCATAGGACTACGAAAAGAATGTCAAAACAAAAGGTCGTTTAATTCTTTGATGCACTTTTTGGGTTAAGCTTGGATTTTAAGTCAATGGTGCACTTCTCCAATCTTAACATTTCATTAAAATACATAACTAAAGTGCATAAAGTAACAATTTAAAACCCGAAATCTCCCATCAATCTCATATGCAAAGTAGATGCATTTTCTAGTTGATACGCATAAATGCAATCCCAATATACCTCACGGGAAAGGATGATCCCATTATATCACATTTCAATCTATAAAATTGAAGAAAAACTTGAGGCACTGAACATGATAGACATTAGTACATCACTTTGGACAAAGAAGGCGGCTTAGGAGGAGAAAGAGATCGAACCTCTGGCGCTGAGCTAGGAAACATCACATTAAGCTTGTGCATCAAAACATCACTCTTTGATGGTATCTCATTCAACAAGAACTGCTGAACTATGGGCTTCTTAAACCATTCAAGAACTGAATCTCCCGGTGCCCTAAGCACAACTTTACTCACCTCAAATGGTGATTCCACAGAAGCCAAAACTTGTGCCACGACCATTTTGAGAGTGGACCCCGTTACCAATTTAATTCTTCGAGGCACCACACCATAATATAGCATCCTCTTTCTGAACCGATGCAAAGTGTGCACAACTGCCACCAAGGCTGCCCCTACTGATAAATTACGAACATCCAAAGACCAAGCAATGTGTTGATCGAAAACAATTGCCTTGGGAAATAGTTTGTTCTCATATGCAACTTTCCAGACACATCTTGCTCTATTCATCTGACCCATCAACACTAAGTAATTTAGGAGCACGTTCACAAAATATCTCGCAGCGCTCTCTTCAACATCGTAATCAATCCCTTGAAAGAATTCTCTCACAAAGGAGAGCACCGGCTTCTTCCTCTGCTCTGGGCCCGTGAATAGCCCACACATGAACTCATGTGCCTTATGCTTCGTCACGCTCATTATATCCATTATCGCCCTCTCGTTCTTCTCATCCTGGCATCGAACCAAATGCGCAGATCAGAAGTGTAAAGTATTAATCAAACTTTGCTGGTGAATGCACATGTCTCAAAAGTGGTCGAGCAGAACATAAAGAACTGTTTCATACAAGACTCAAACAACTGTCTGACAATAAAATTGTTAGTCCTAATTCCAGCCGAGCCCATGAACCTCAGCCACCTCAACGCAAGCTCCGTTGACCCATCCTTAATGTAAATCATCAGCACATCACTAGCATTCACATCCACCGGAAACCCACTAGCCTTCATCTCAAGCAAAACCTTCGCAGCCAAATCCAAGAGCTTCTTGTTAGCAAGAAGAGACAATAACGACGTATAAACGCTCATCCCGAGCCTGAATCCCGTATTACTCATCGAATTATACAGCTTCATCGCAGCATCAACCTGTCCCTTAGCAGAATGCATCTCGATGAGACAAGCATACGTTGACGGGGTCGGTAGGAACCCAGCCTTCTCCATCTCATTAAATAGCGACGAAGCAACTTCAAGCCTCCCAGACTTAGCATGAGCCTCAACCATCATAGTATAAAGCCCAAAGTTTGGCCTAAACCCTAAGCCCTTCATCTCATCCCACAAACTCCGGCCAGCATCAAGCTTCCCCGCCTTGATCAACGACTCAATCATGGAAACGTACATCGTAACCGAGGGTTTATACCCAACCGCCTGCATCTCTCGATAAATCCCAACCGCAGCGTCCAACCTCCCAGCTTTCCCCATAGAATCGACCAGCGCACCGTAAATCCCCAGCCCCGGCCTCATTCGACTCTCCTCTCCTCTCCGTTTCATTTCATCAAACATCTTGAGTGCAGCATCAAGCCTGCCGGTCTTCGCCAACGCAGGAATCATCAACTCATAAGTCGCGGAATCCAACGAGCAACCGCTCTCCTCCAACGATTCGTAGATCTCAAACGCCTTATATGGCAGCCCCTTGGACAGGAACATGGTGATAAGCGAATTGTAGGATTTCGTGGTGAGCTTCCTAAAGTTGGCATCTTTGAGCTTCTTGAAGCAGCAGAAGGCGAGTTCGATCTCGGACGCGCTGGTTAGGGTCTGTACGACAAGGTTCGCCGACAAGGGGAAGTCACCAGGGCCGGAGGCGACAATATCGGAGTCGAAAATGGAGGCAACGTCGTCGACGCGTAGGTGGGTGAGGATCAGGGCTAGGGCCTGGTCGGAGGGAGGAAACGAGGGCTGGCGGCGGGCCCAGCGGAAGAGGGAGAGGGCGGCGTGGGGTCGCTGGGGGAAGGCGTTGGAGGGAGAGGGTGAGGGAGGAGGGGGGGGACGAAGGGGAGGAGGTCGCAGGTGGAGTGGAGGTCCGGGCCCGCAGCGAGGGGGGTCTCGACGAGCTTGGAGGCGGCGGCCGAGGGGGAGATGGACGGGTCGGTCGCCGCAGGAGGACGTGGGAGTCGGCGCCGCCGGAGGTGGAGGCGGGACGGGCGGCCGACGGCGGTGGGTGATCGGGTTGTTTGGATTCGTCGAGATACAGGATTTCTTCGGTCCATTCTCCGCTATTGCTGGTGGTAGGACTGGGATCGGGGGTCGATGAGGATGAGGATGACGAGCAGTAGGACCGAAGAAGAGGGGTTAGGGTTTTAGTAGAGAGGGTTGGGTGTTGGCTTTTGAGGTTACGGAGGCGGAGGAGGAGCAGCATTTTTTATTTTTATTACCCCCTTCCTTCCTCCGCTGGGGTTTTGGGAGAGGGCAGGGCAGCTCGAGAGAGGAGAGGGGGTAGGGCGCGGGGGGTTCAGGGTGCGGGGAGGTATTTCTACACGCGGACACACAAAATTTTGCGTTTACCGTTTCGGGTGTTATTAGAAGTGAATCTTGCTTTGGTACTCCCAAAAGGAATTTAAATTTTATTTATTATTATTTTTTATTAAAAGAGTAGAGTTGTAAGTTTACCAATTAGGGGGTGTTTGGTTCAACACCGAGCAAGAATAGGATTAGGAAAATGATGTTTTTTTATGGATACTTGCTTGATGGGAAAATTCGAAGAAGACAATTGAGAACAAAATTGTGTTATTCTCTCTAACAGACTAAGAAAAAAAATTAATTACAATTCTCTTACTATAATTTCTCTCTAACAAACTTAGAAAAAAAAATTACACTTCTTATATCGGATTCTCGATTTACAAAAGAGAGAAGGGTCGACTGAGATCCTTCCCTTTGTTTAACATGGGTTCTTCACGGTAGCGATGAGATGCCTCCCTTGATATTAGTGTCAAGTTTGTTTCTCGTTGACGATTCGACGTTTCACCTCGTTGGATTAAAGTCGATGAAACTTGCGAGGCAAGTTAAGCAGAACCCTTAACGAGTTTAATAACTCCATGCGAGGTTAAACTCTGTGGAAGAGTTGATTTGAACTGAAATTCGGTTAATAAGCCAAGTACCAAAGCTTCAAAATTTCTGTTGCTGAAGGATGCTCCAAGATCTCCAAGTGTCGATCTCCTATTTCTATTCGAAAAAGATCAATGTCCGTATCCCGTAAAAAGATTCGATGATATTCCAAGATCTCCAAAAAATATCCCCCTTAACTCTGTTGAGTTTTCTGTTATTTATAGGGGGATAAGGGGTTGCAACTGACCGCTTAAACCAATCCTAAATGGGCGAAAAACCCTCAGAACACGGGGGAAACAGTTTTGGAACCATTCAGCTCTAATTTGAACGAGACAAACGCCGAAATTGGCGTTTTGAGCCCGAACTCTATGTTTTAGACCTGAAACGCAGAGTTAGGTATATGCCTAAGGCTGAAAACGCAGTGGTCGTGCTAAAAGCACCCTAATGCCACTAGGAAAGAACTCTAGAGGGGGTGAATAGGGTTTATACTAATCTAATCCGATTTATGCCAATTTAAAACTAATTAATAAATATCCTAGCAAGAATAACATTCAACAAGATATGAGCAATGATATACAATTAACACAAGGGTGAAATAAACATAAACAAAACAAGATAGTGGGTAATATAAATAAAGAGCAATTAACAAAGGCGATATAAGATGAACACAAAAATAAGTGAGCCAATGCAAACTCAAACAAGCGATATGATCACGGAGTTCGGTCCCCATGACCTACGTCTCCGCTCCTCACCTCGAGAAGATCTCCACTATCACAATCGAGTTTTCTACGCTCACCCGAATAACGTTTACACCTCACACTCGGTTTTCTAGCTCACCGAAAATTTTACAACACTCACAATGTAAACACACTAACTACCACCTCAAGTGTTGGTCTCTAGCCCGTGTCTCCCTCAAGTGTTAGGAATTACAACCTCTCTCTAGGCATTACCACCTACCCACCTCCTCTTAGGATGATCCCATCTCTCACCACACACTCCTCTTAGTGTACTAGTGTATTACAAAGTGAACCTCATAATAATAGCTCACTAATCAATTGATTGTTCTTTAAACAACGGGAGAACTCAATTAAGCACAACTCAAGGTTACAATCTCTCACAGCCCTAATTATACTATGTATGAAATACAATAAGCTTAAGTGGGTGTGTGTAACAATGAGATTCAATAAAATAAACTAAACTCAAATAAATCAACTTATGGAAATTATGAACAAAACAATAAATAGCTAGAAATAGAGTTTAGAAAAACTTCTCTATAGATAACAAGAGAGAGGGAGAAGAGTCGAATGCTCAAACACCAATGGATGATCTCCTCAGGCTCTTGCGAAAGTTTCTTCACAAACCAAACTTTTAAACACACTAAACAAACTTTAAACCCTTGTTAAACTTTCTTAAAACATTCTCTTGGTTGGTTTAGAAGTATGAGAGCATGGGGTATTTATAAGCTTACGAAACAACCCCAAAAACCATTAAAAATCCAAGAAAAAATCATAAAAAGATAAAATCTAGAAAACTAGCTGTTATAGGCTAAAAACACATCATTAGTTGACTTATGACTTCATCAGTCGACTGATGAAGTCGACCGTTGAACAGTTTTGGCAGATTCTAGAATTTTGCGTATCTAGCTTTGTAAAATCAATTAAAAATAGTAAATCAACTCCAAAAATCATGAAATTTTTAGAAAAGTATTTAAACATATAGAAAAACATGTTAGAGAAAGAACTTATTAAATATCATTTCTTATTTGTGATAAATAATTATTTGAACATAGATATTATAGTTTTTGAAAACTGCTGACATACATGATTTTCTAAAATAATTTGACACCTTAAATCAACTCCAAAAAGATAAAATTTTGGGAAATGATTATAAACATGTAATATAACATGTTAAAAAAGAATTTTCCAAATTTAATTTCCCATTTGTGAAATCTCATCTGTTTTATAAAAACATGCACGAACATGAACTTTAAACATGCACGAACAAAAACTTAATTTTGTAAATTCAATTAAACATAACAAATCAATTTCAAACTTAATGAAACTTTGGAAAATATTTGTAAATGTGCTTTTGAACATGATACAAAAAGAATTTTCTAATTTGCATTCCCCAATTGTGAAATCTTATCATTTTGAAATCACGTAAGTATGAACTTGTAAAAGCTTGATTTTGACAAAATGAGTTTAAACAAAGTTTTGAAACATTTCCAATAGATTTATAGACTTGATAAAAGAAATAAAATAATATTATTAAGTCTATAATTCAAAACGATAATAAATCAAACCAAATGTGTGTGTGTGATATTGAGCTCTAAGTATTAACACACAAGTATAAACCCTAAACTATTTACCCAAGCTTGGAATCTTCAATATGCTCATCTTGGTAAACTTGCGGATAAAGTTTAAACTTGAATTGTATTGCTTCACTCTACTATTCCGCCAACCTCCATTGGATATGATCATGAATGATCGATTACATCCATCCTTCAACATATTGTTTGCCTAGAATAGATACAAAACACAAACACTAGAAAAACAACATTAGATGTAAATTATTTGTAAATCATTATCAAAATAAAAGGACCCAACACGTACTGCGTTTGGAATCTGAGATGCAGAGATGAACTATGCGTTATGGAACTAAAGAGATTGTTGACCTCTAATCTCTTTCATTAGAGTATTTGCAAAGATCGTTATTTTGTAATCTCCACCTTAGCTCCTTGAAATGCGAGAGTCATCAGATTGTAACTCTCACTGTGAAGACTGTTGAGTCAGAGTTTTCATCAATTGTCATGAAGGTCGTCTAATTATAACTTTCTCGATCTACATGAAAAAACTTCTAATTGTAGCATTCATTTGTTGATGTGAAAGTCATTTGATTATAACTTTCATCATTGGTATTTGATAGGGATCAGCTATCTGTAATAATTTTTAGACGACCTATAAAAACCCCTCTAAAGTTTTCAAAAATTCACGGTTGACTGGAACAAATTTTCGGAATACTTTGGATCCCCAAATTGATTTGAGATCTGTTGTTGAATGATGGTTCACTATATCTGTTTTGAAGACATCGTAAACTTGATTGTAGAAATTTCCTCTATGTCGCAGTTCTTCTTCTTGTATTTAGCGAATTCTTCACTAACTTCCTTGAGATCTCCTTTGGTAAAGATTAACCCCATACTCCCGACGAACACATAAAAATAGTTAAGGTAGTTCTGATCTCATTAAACCAAACAAGATAACTTATGTGTCTTGATGACAATGAACTTAGTCAAAAAAGCTAAAGCCAAAGTCATCATCGTTAGATCCATTAGTAGGATCGACTTTTTCCTCTTCTTCAACAGCAGTAATAACAACATTCTCAGTCAATGCAACATGAGCGATAGCAACAACGAATTTGCTTGGCTCTTTGAGATATTCCTTCAACTTATATAAAAGTGTATTCAGTGTCAACAACACCAGGATAAAGATTCTTGTAGGTATTGATGAACACTCCACGTGCAGCTACAAGAGTTGGGTAAGAGAGAGCCAATGATAGCGAAGTAACCATATAAACACCACCTGTAAACTTATCAATGAGGTCATCCTCAGTGAGGTTGAGCACCTTTGGGTTGAAAAAAGATCCATTGTCATAAATAGAGAGAACCACAAGCCCATATAATAAAGCCCTTATCTTAAATTTGGTCAGGAGGACAGCCTCAGAGGAACCCATTTTGTCTCCTTTCTTGATCAATTCAACTAGGGTAATGATTTTAACAGTACCCTTGTTAATCTTGGTTGGAATGTTAAGTCATTTGAAAGGATGAGTTGTGAGAAGGATCGAGTTCAATATTATCAGCGACATCAATCATAACCTGTCTATACTCATCCAAGAGGCTGTATAGCTTATTGTTGTAAATCAGTTTCTTCTCGGTTTTTATCACCTTGATGGCCATTGCTAGCTTCTCTGAGTATCTGAGAACGTACAATAACCCCAATGGTGATGGTGATTCGACATAAGGGCCAAGACAAAACAAATTGAAGGAGGTGCAATTTGTTTGAAACACTCAACCAAGAATGGTTGTTGTAATGCTTGTGTTGAGAGGCCAAAAACGCACAAATGAACCCTGCATCTGAGATTTAAAGTGCAGGGTGAACTTTGCGTTTAGAATTTCAACCAACACGAACGCAAAGGTCGTATTTTGGGCTGGATTTTTGCCTAAAATTCTATCATGACTTGATAGCTCACAGCTGTCTATAAATAGACCGCTGGGGTCAAATCAAGAGCCATTCAACTCTTTCATCTTCTCAAAGCTTT